TGACATCATGAGGATGACACCTTGAATAAAACTGGATCCGTATCTGCACAACCTCCTCCCTCCAGTGACTCCACAAAGCCTCAAATGAAGTCAAACTGGATTATAAACCGGCCCATTAAGTCTCCCAAGGTCAAAGGTCACGGCAGCATATGGATCGAGGCTCATCGTAAATCTTCGCCCTGTGTGCAGATTGGCTGCACACGCATGACTGAACAGAAAGCCACGTTCAGCGCAGGACGTGTCTGATTCAGCAGCTTATTTACTGTTCAGGAAATAAAGAAACTCAGGAAGGTTGTGAATGAATCTAAATTTAGTTTTCAGGAATTCACTGATGCAACATTTGGTTCAAGAAGTCATCCGGCTGTCGGTTACAAACCAACACTGTAACTCACAAATATAGTTCAGAATAACCTTCAGACACAACCCCACCCCCTCGCTTCAGATTCACTGAGATTCTGTGATAAATGCTTTTATTGTGAAGCACTTTTATTTTGAAAAACACTATAAAAATACATCCTTATTTACTTTTCACCGAACCCACAGCTGTGCAGGGTTGTGAGGAATTCAAGGGGGATTGTGTTACTTAATGCAACTTCCTGATTCCTTACATTACATATATGTATCTATATATATAGATACATATATATATAGATATATATATGTATATATCTCTCTCTCTCTATATATAGAGAGATATATATATGTATATATGTATATACAACTATATGATGCCTTCCCGATCCTAGGATGAAGAAAATCAGAGGATTTAGGAGTGGCTACAACCAATACTGACTGATCAATAAGTGAGTATACCGTCTCTACCTGCACTATACCACTGCACTGTAAATACATGGAAATATTAATAAACTTAGAAAAATATCCTGTGAATTTAATGTTTAATGTAAATTAATCTGTAACAATCATAAAATTGTTTGATTATTTATGAAAATGAATTAAAAGTTAAAATACATTTTGCAAATCTATAATTTGCTGCAGATATTTATTATTTATTTAATAGATTAAACTGTTAAATTCAAGTTTAATACTGTTAATACATTTATAAAATTATGTTAAATTAACAGGTAATTTCACAGATGACTTTTATTGCAGTTCTATAACCTTTAAAACATAAAACTTTATGTAAATTTAGGCCTGATTTGTATTATAGCAATGTTTGTATTTTGTATTTATAGATAATATAAATGTTTTTTATGTTATGTTCACAGATGTATTAAGGGAGTTCTGTCTCATAGAAATGACATTTACATAAAACTTATTTGCAGCAAACAGCAGACGTGTTAATGCCGACCAAATTACATTTTTTATTAAAATAATGACAAACTGTTGTTTTAATTAACGTAAGTCGCTAAAAGAAAGTTTCAGTAAAATGTTTATTGACATATTTCATTAAGAATCACTGTTTCTTGTCTTTTATTTGATTCTCTGCTGGATGTTTCTTTGTTCAGTGTAACTCGGACCGGTTCCAGCTCCGCAGCCAGCTGATCCTCCACCTTCCTGCCCACTGCTGGGCCCGTCTGCCGGGCTTTCTCTCCTGCTGCCTCCACCAATCTGCTGGAGAAACTGTTTACAACAGTGAATGACTAATATCATAAAAGAAGCATAATAACAACACAATAAAGAAGAATGAAGTTTAAAGACGCTGTAAAATATTTCAGATTTTATGGTGAAAAACTGTCAAACTACGACAGTAAAAGACTGTAAACTTTAAATATGTTAAATACAGTCATATCTCACAGCAAAACCTTTATTCATAAAGCATTTTAAGATAATTTATATAAAATAAAGTAGTTTATTTATATTACAGGCTGTTTATTGCACAGAAAACTACAGCATTCATATGGTATTTTCATGTGGCTTATGTGTGCTTATTTTGATGGTAAAAACTTATATGTGAAAATATAGATTAAAACTCCAACTTTAACCGTACAATCAACAGTACTAACATCCTTTTACCGCAATAGTAGAAAAAATATTTATTACGGTAAAGTTCTGGTAATCACGGCTGCTGGTGGCGCTCTCCGTGGTGCTGAACCTCAGACGTCTAACAGGGACTTGACAAACTAATAAAATTATTTATCTTTTTGTTCAGATTCAAACCAACAGTAAATGACTCAAGTATTTTATGTGTGAAGGTTTGAATCTTCCTCCTCTGTGCCGTAGAGCCTGATTATTCCATTAAATGTATGAGATGGTGGCGGACCCTGCCAGCGCCAGCGCCACCGACATAGACTCTTTCAGTCACTTGCTTCTGGCAGGAGGTTGCGGTCCATCAGCACCACAAGAACAGTTTTATTCCATCTGCATCCTCATTAAGACCCCGACTGACCCTGAAACCCACCTTCATTATTACATTAATGCACTTCATATACTCTTCACTCATATTTCAGCCATCTTGTTCATATTGTCTCTTTGTATCTTTATATTTTTCTATGTTTAAACCTTCTTGGCAATAAACCTGATTCTGATTCTGATTCTGAACTATGGATGCTTTAAGTTAAAGACAGCTGCTGGCTTTCTGTTGGATTATTTACTGTCTTACACACAAAGTTTGGACTGTATTAAGGTTAAAACATTAAGATGAAATTAAATGAGGACATACGAGAGGCTGATTGGTAACAACACGCTTTAAAGTCCAAAAACAATCAATTAATGCGAGTGTTTGGGACTGAAATTAAAGATGTTGTTCAGACTGTATCTGAGAGAGTGACCAAGAAGAAATATGTGTACTTGGTTTATTTTTAAAGAAGAACGAATCAGATCAACTAATTTTTATTTGAGGTCTTCAGTAGGAACCAATGGGCCACTGACAGGAAGTCAGAACATATTGAGAGATGCACCAACACACTGCTGGTTTATATTTTCACTGCATTTGTTGATAATAAGAAACACCAATATAATAATAATAATAATAATAATAATAATAATAACAATAACAATAATAATATAAAACCAGCAGAAATAATAGAAATACTGCAGATTTCTCCACTGTGTTTCTTTCTGTCTCCAGTTCGACTGAATTATTATAAACTCAGTGATAAATCCTCCACACATGGAAGCTAACTTCATCTTTTTTTAGGCTTTATTCCACCGACTCATCTGACCTTCCTCGCCACAGAGGTGAGACGACCTCTGGTGAATTCAGCCTCCAGATAAAGTCAAAATTAAGCCTCAAAGTAATTCCAGCCTCGAGGTTTGAGCTCATAATTTATTCCAAACGAACTAAATCCTTCATCCGTTATCTCGGTTATCAGCATGTGTAGCTTAAAGCTTAATGAAGGTCGTCTTCTTTTAAACACACACTGAAAATATCTGTCATATTTGGCCTCATTGGTTGCAGGTGTGTTCGTTTGTGCATTAACAATCGTTAAACTGAGACTAAGAGAGAAAACTTTATTATCAGTAAATTCTGGGGAGTCTGAGGAAAACACGACTCAAAAATAGTCAAAATATAATCTTAATAAATAAAATTGCTGATTATTTTTGGCAAGAAATTAAGAAATGGAGGAAAAATTAGAAGTTATAAAATTTAGTAAAGTAGTAAAATTCTGATGTTGGATCAATACTTTTGATATTTTTGGGCTTATAAATTTAATATTTTTCATGTTCTATCTTAAAATTTTGACTCGTTACATTCTGAGATCATGATTTACTTTTAATTTCTAATTCAAATGCCCTAATTTGCGCTGTAAAAGTTCAACATTTTGACTTAAAATTTCATCATTTTGAGTCTCATAATTGAGAATTTTGAAGATTTTTGAGGACTAAATCAACACTTTCCTGTCATTTGACATAATAAATGTCATACTTTTGATTTCGAAGGTAAAAAAAACTGAGTTGACTTTCTTTCTTGTTTTCGTTCAGGCTCAAAAACACCATCAGGAGCACCAGAACGAATCAGAGGAACCTGATTTCATTACAGATTATCTGTCTCTTGTTGTACTATCAAGATATAATTAAAGTTTTAGCAAATATGACAAAAAATATTTGTATAAAAATTACCTACTATAAAAAAAGTTCACAGCTAGTTTAGTTTCAATAAACTATAAAAACATTACTTACCATGACTGTATTTATTATTCCTAATGTGTCATTTTTTTTTTCTATCTGGCATTAACAGGCTTCCATATAGGCTGAAAACCCATTGATCATAGGCTATATGGAAGCCCATTTATGCCAATGTGACGGGAAGAAAAATAATTCTCTAAGTCATTATAATGAGAAACTTTCTTTTAAAATATCAATATTTTGAATTAGTATCTGAAAATAGTGTAAAAGTTTATCATTATAATAATTAATAATTATAATAATATTGGCAGAAATGGTCTTCCATA